TACAAAAGGAAAATGATGAACCTAAGGAAATGCTGGATCTCCCTTGGAAGATGTCGTGTGTAGATATAATCTTCCAGAAGGTGAATTGATATTTTTTTTTAATTCAGAGCCCTCTCCCTTTTTGTGTAGGTAACTGGCAAAATGCCATTGTGTGAGAAGTGAAACTACCAAGAGGGAAAGGATTTTAAATATACACTCCAGTGAAGCTACTCAATTCTCGGGAATCTATCAAGGCATTGACATAAGATTCCACCCATCTGCATCATGGCCCACATGCTTGTACGGGAGGACCGTTTCCACCCCTCTGCTGCCCTCCTCCCTAACAAGCAGGCCTTCTTCAGAGACATAGCGCACTAAATGACAAGCTGCACTTGATCTAAAGAGGTTTTCTGTAGGAACTGTGTTTTAAAATGTTCCAATAATCACTGCACCACAGCTAGTATTTCAAGATCACTTGTGAGGCTCATAAACAAGACAGGCTGATCCATAAGCTTTAGGGTGCAACCCTAGGCCAGTATAGTGTAAAAAAAGGGGGGACCGACAGCTCCCAGTATGACCCAGCCAGCTGGCCAAAAGCATGACGGGAGTTGTACGCCTTTTCTGTCTACACAGGCATAGGATTATTCTTTTCATCATGTATGTGCGTAAGCATTTACGCAGCTATAGTTCAGCATGATACCCACACGGAAGTTATACAGTTTTATGTCATACTCATTCTGGAGAAAGGAGCCCCAAGACCAAAAGCCATGCTTGATTAAATCTCACAGCAGCCAGTATGTGTTCCTTACACTTATGTGCTATTGTTTGACGAACACCATGTCTAACCGTTTCAGTGCACTACAGGCAATGCATACCTACTAAGCAAACACAGACGCTCCACTTGAGCCCCATGCAAAAAGCCCCATCACTAGTGTCCCAAATTCTAGCAACTGTACCTCAGAGCAAAAAAGCCAGAATCCCTAAGTTCTCCAGAGATCCACTGCAACTAACAGAAAGCCATGCATTTTCTCTCAGATTTCTTTGAGGCAGAAAAGGCAACACATTTAGATGCTTTACCTCTCATAAAAAGGAAAGCACAAAAGGACACAGAACTGGCATTTTTCTCTACAGGGTGTCTTTAAGTAGATAAAGGGCTCCTTCAGGGCAAGATGACAAGAACTTTGGCTCTGTTGCTCTGTGCAGGAGATGCCATTTATCTGCACAGGGCTGCGAATGACTGAACCCAAGTGAGCGGCTGACTCGGGGCAAAACAGAGCACATCGTTTGAATATCAGATTAGTAAGGGTCTGGGAAGGCTTTTTCTAGAGCTCTAACAGCCTTTGCTTCAGGACAATTCCCTAAATGCTCAACAAACCAGAGAATTTATTGGAGCCAGAAGGCTTCAGCATTGCTTTTACTGTGCAAATCATGTAGCCTGTGCACATTTACTTCAAATGATGGGGAGGGGATTTTAAAGCTAAGCAACAAGGAAGGAATTAAACGTGGGTGGTTACTTGATGGGGATTAGAAAGGCTGCACAGAGATTTCAAGAAAACCCAAACAAACTCTCATTATGCTGACAAGAACTTACTTGAAACAGCAACACATGCATGCACACACATGTACACACACAGACTGTCTGGTTTTTCAGGACACGTGTGAAATCTTGTGTGAGGTTGTCATGTCTTGATATACACTAATGTTTTCAGGCATCTCTCACGGCAGTACACACAAGAGGAAGGCACTTAATAGCGGCCTGAATTTCCTGAGCATTTTCCCATGAATCTCACCTATGGATTGAAGGCAGCTCCACCTGTGCACTGATGCTGTTGTGGAAGCCCTTGAGGATAACTACTTCCACAAAATAGAAACAGAACAAGCAGCCAGAAATTGACAGTGTAGCCATTGCTTAAACACCAACCTCATCTTCAGGGGAAAAAGGAAAGGGGGAAAAGAGTGGGGGGCTTTGTAACACTGAAGACGAGAACTTCTGTTCCTCATCTATGTGCCCTTAATGTTATTTCACAAGTATTGTCACTTCTTATAGCATAGATATTTATTTTTATAGAATAGTAGAGATGGAAGGGGCCAAGAAGGCCATTGGGTCCAACCCCCTGCTGTTGCAGGACACCAATTCACACCATCTCCCCAGATAACTGCCTATTTTGGATGCACTTGCTTACATGGGACCAATGAAGTAAAGTTCGTTGCAAAAAAAGTTGTTTCAGCACCTGCAACTATGATGTTGTGTACAAAAGAAGGCCATTTGAGAAGTATTAGGTACATTATGGAATAGTGTGAACTGTCACACTAGCTCAATTAAGCATCACATCAAACTATCATCAGGAACGTTTAACTATGATTTCATGTGATGTTTGATCCCACATGACAAGTCATCGTTTGCAATCAGCTAACAAATCCCCCACATATAATTGCTTGAGGAGAACTGGCAAACCCTAGTTTGTATTATACTATAACTTGGCATGACAGCTGAACTGGCAGACCATGACTACTTTCCCATTTGCCCACTGCTCTCCCTTTGGAAGCCACTGCATCTTAGATATGGAAATGCAGAGCAGACTGAACACTGCAGCTGGCTGATAGCTCTGAACTTTAATCTGCTTACCCATTTGGAAGCATGGTTCTAAAACAAAGGTTAGCAGAAAACATGGGTGGAATGATATCCAGCTTGACCCAGCATCCTAGTCCCTTCCTGTAGGTTTTAAAGCTCATTAGGAAACCACATATTTCCAAGTCTGTAATGTGGATACCCAGTGAACTGGTACACTTTCCAAAGAGTTGTCACCCATGTTGAAGCGTTCCACTGGAATTGCACCATTGCACTGGTAGAAATACACTGTCATATTTGAACACACTTGCATTTCTGGGTACATTTCAATGCACTGACTTTGCATGTCCTGAACTCCTGAGCTTTGGAGATTAAGGGCGATCATTCTTCATGAACCTCTCCACATATTCAGTCTTCAGATGAGTTCTGCTTCAGATCAGTTCACCAAAACAGGAGTGGCTACAAGACATGTGGCTTCTGGGGCTGTGGTACACTCACTGTAGAACACCCTTCACTGGTAGTTTTTAGAACAGTGGTAAAAACACCTTTGCTTTTAAGGGCCTTAGTAGACCAGTCACAATGCTGCTGCTCTGGTTTTCTAGATTAAAGACAGGAAGCACCATTCACTCATGCTTCTTGCCCTCACAAATTCAGAGAATGAGGAAGATAGTCATTGTACCTTTTGGCTGTTTGCTCAAGTTAAACTGGCAGGTACTAGAGATGCATGGCTGATAAAAGTTTTAAATGGCCACAGTCCTCTGGCAATGAGTTTACATGAATTCAGATCCCTATAAAGCAAGGTGCTCCATTTTAAAAAAGGTTTGCTTTATTTGGTTTCCAAAGGCAACATTAACTTTTCACAGTTCACAACTGAAGCCATGTTTATAGGTCAAAAGCTCTCCAGTTACTCAGATTTCTGTCTATCAGAACAATTACCAAAACCATGTTGGGCTAATGAAAGCAGCAGACAGACGCAATAAAAGGGTGGCACAGCTGAAGTTACACACACACTATGGAACTGTTGCCAAAATCACTTACACTGTTGAGTTCCACAGGGTTACACCAACCTAGACCCTCTCTGTCTCTCTCTTCCCCACCCCCCTACAAGTGTAATTCAAGGCATGTAACGTTAAAAAAACTAAAGCGAGACAAGTCATACAGTGCACTGAAGCATAATTCCGTGCAATCTGTGATTCCAGTAATAACCTGGGAAGAATTCTATGCATGTTTAGGTTTAAAAAAAAAAGCATTTCCCATCCACCATACTGACTTCTTTCCATGTGAAAGAGTTTTAACACGCTTGGTCCTTGGAAAATTTAGAATTCCACTTTGGAAAATTTAGAATTATGAATAAGCAGTGATTATCTTTCTCTGAGGAGGACAAAGCAAGGCTTAGAACATCACCTTTTCTGGTCTGACACAATGTTTATGGGTCCTGAGGAAAAAGAGGGAGTCTTGCTTTGCCAGCTTTTTTGCATCGATTGCATAACTTGACATCAAAGTGAAAACCAGAACTTCTACTACTACTGAAATGAAATAAAAATCAAAATTCTGCATTTTTATACAAAAAACAAGTAGATCTCTTACAATGAATACATATATACTATATATATCCTATATGTTGTATACGTAGCAAGACATACTATTCTAAATAGAAATAACTATGTAAAGACTTCAACAAAGGTAGGCTAAATATCCATATATTTGTCCAGTCGTAAACTGTGCCTTAAAAACAATTTCAAAACTCAATAGTTCAAAAGTCAATAATTTCATTAGGGCCACCATTAGGGCCAATAGTCTCAATGGGGCCACCCATTGTAGAGAGTGGCCCTTTCTCTTTCCAGTGTTGTAATATTAGTATTTTAGCTATCCAAGGAGCACAGAGAATCCATTTTTGTTGGCCTTGCACTGAAGTCCAAGAAATAGGTAGATAAGAAGATTGCATGTATCTACTAATATTAAAGAATCTCCCATCACAAACTTTATCTGAATTATTGTCCCCTCCCAAAGGAAGCAGTCATTGAACATTGCCAAAACATATTAATCAGCTTAGTGTTGGGCATTTTTTACTTCTAACAATTACCTGATTGAATTGGGTCCCTTGCTAGGGTGTCCAATATATCTGAAACACCATTTCTTCTGAGTTAAACATAATCTAAGATCTATTGCACTGCTCCATATATAATTGCAAAGATAAAAAAAATCCATCCCAATTAAGCTACTGACACAGCATTATCACATCCAAGGATCCGAAATCCAGGCCATTAGTTTTATGTAAGCAGCATTATTTTGTAATTTAAAAAATCTGACAAATTCAAGAGACCCTCTTGAAAGAAGCCAAGAAAGTCATATTTTGTGCAAACTCCAGTTTTGGAACTGGCACCCCAGTGTAGCTGAGCTTGTCACTTTGAGCCTTCTAGTTCTATTGACAACATCTGGGTACTTGTCTTACCTAGTTCCTTTGATCCTTGGCTTTCGCTGGCCAACTCTCCCATTTTAACCAGTGCATCAAAATATCCTTTTGCTGCATATGTCACACCTAGAAATTGAAAACATGTATTATTATTCTCACATTCATTTTAACGCCAATGATCTTTTAAGAAATCCATTAAAAATACTAGCATTATTTGGCAGGCACTATACCTGCTGAATCGTAGGTCACCTTTCACTTCGATTCTCTATCATTCATCTTGCCTAGAATTAGCCAGATAACCACATGCTGTCAACAGTACAGAAACAAGTCCACAAGATACCTACAAACCTGCAAGTAAGTCCTGTTCCATCATTTAGGTATTATTTCATCAACCCGCTTTAGTGTTGCCATCAAATTCTACCTAAAGTAGAATTTGGGATTTCTTCTAGACTAAGTCTTCTTCCATAATTAGGGAAACACTACAACCTGCATGACACCCATCAAGTTCTACCAGGCCCCTATTTACATTATCATACTCGCTGCATTTGATATGTAATGCTTGGGCAAAAAGTAGGTAACTAGATGTTTTGGACTTCAACCTCACAGATTTCTGACCACTGGCCATGCTGGCAGAGATTTCTGGGAGCTGAAGCTCTAACTTCTGCCCCTAATACAGCCATGCATGGCAGCACGAATGGGACCAATGAGAAAGGCTACATTTTGTACATAAATGCACGGCCTGTGGCAAGGGAGGCACATTTCATGAAAGTTTCACTTATGCTTCCCTAATCCTGTTCCTGGTCTAAAAAAAGAAGAAAAAGAAACAACAGGGAGTGTAGTTTTGATCTTAGAATAAAAAGAAGGAACTAGATAGATATTATGAAGAAGTGGTAATGCGGTATGTGGAACAAATATTGAAACAGAGTACAAAAAATAGCAAGGAAAGCTGCAAGAGTGAAAAGAAACAATTAGAGCCATGTGAAATGGAAAAAGCCGGGTGCACTTTTGAAGTTACATAGTTGTGAAAGAATCTGTGAAAATAGAATCTCTGGACTATGACACTTGTCAGTTTAGGCAATTATCTAAATCCAAGAGATGCAATTAAGGGAGCAATTGATAGAACAGTGTTTGCAATGCACATGAGCTTATCTGAAGGATCACCTCCTTCAACATGTACCTACCCAGACCCTGAGATCATCTTCAGAGGTCCTTCTCCAGAAGCCCCTTTCAAAGAAAACAGGGTAGGTGGCCACCAGGAAGAGCGTTTTTCCAGTTATGAATATTATTATTTACATCTTTACACCACCTGTAGCTGAACCATACAGTCCATATGGTTGTGAAATGTTCTCCCCAAGAGGTGCACTTGGAACCTACTTTGCATTATTTTCAGTGCAAGATGAACACCTTTTTAGTTTCCCAGCATTTTACACTTTGTTTTTATATACTGTATTTTATTCAGTACCACTGCTATGCTTCTGCGCTGATTTAATTGCAATTGCTATTCTGCTTTTGTTGTTTTCAATTAATTTTTGTTTGTCTGTGTGTCTTTTGAAACTTTTGTTTAACTTTAGCTTTTGTTATCTGCCCAGAGACTCTTGGCTATTGGGTAGTATAAAAAATAAATGAATTAATGAATGAAAATAATTTCAGAAGGTAAGGCACACCAGGGATCATCCCTGCCTCCCTGCACCTCCCACTTTGCAGGTCAACAAGATGGCCCTTTTTTTTGAGCTGTCCAGCTGAGGTGCTTTAGAGCAGAAGAGAAGGAGGCTGGAGCCCTGACATGTCCTATCTTAGCAGCCTCCATTTTCTTCCCTCCATACACTCCAAAGTGCTCCCTCTGCGGTCAGTCTTCTGATCTTGGAGATGCAACTGGCACAGTGCTTTCCTTATTGGCTGCAAAGGCAGGGAAGGGAATCAGAGAGCAGACCCCTCATTCTAAGGCTGGAGCTCTGTTTCCAACCTCAGATCTGGGAATACAAAATTTCCTATAGCTCCCTAGATGCTGTCTTGGGAGCCAGAGGCTCACCCTTCAAGTCTGTTTCTGGGATTGGCTCCAACAAAGTTCATGTATCCTAACTTCAAGGCAGCTCTACTGAGGCTAATGTAGGAGTTTAAGGTACTTTAGTGCAGAGTGACCTATGAGCAGTGTAGGCTTTGCAATGCCTTTAGGCATCTAGGGAAGGTCACACTCTAGAACTCATTAATTAAACTGAGTTAAAAACCATGACTCCTGTTAGGAGTGCAGAGCAGGGAGAAACAGACACAAATTTAGACTTCATTGGTTTGAAAAGTCAGTATATGTTGCCATTATGTTTTCAAGTTTATTTCTACAACCATGAGAGCTGGAGAATTAAATTTGGAAATGGAAAAAGAGGTACTATTGCAACTTTAAGGATTCCAACAAGATCCTTTTAGCCAGACAGTAGCATTACAGGGCCAGCTTGTGGCTTGCTTGTTGACCTTCCATTCTGTGCACTGACATAGAAGATACTTCTCTGTATTATAATGAGATTCAGCTCAGTTTCCTATTAGTTATTTCTAACCAATTAAAACATATAAACAGACAAATCTGCATTTCAGAAAAGCCACCTTCAAGTGCACAACATGGAAAGTGATAGAGTGGGCAACCAGGCCTGTGTGCAGCCATGGAATTACTTATAAGACTCAGGAATCTACAGCAGAATGACATTCCAAGACCGTTGGCTTTCTTTTTTTAGAGGGGAGACAGGGAGGGAAAGCACTGAAAAGCCTGAGGATGCAGGCTCATATCAAAATCTCATGAGCCAGAAGAGGTTTGGATCTTGTATTATGCTCCCTTAGGCTTTGCTTACTGTTCCACATCCCTTGAAAACCTGATTATCAGAAGAAATATTATGCAAAACATACAGAAACACTGGATTTAAACTATAGGACATTTGTGATCATAGTATACTACCTGTTTTTTACTCCCTTAGGAAGGGAGTGCATGAAAGCCCATAAATCCACAATATGACTAGCTAATCGAGGCTTTAAAAACGCTACTCAGTACTCAGTTGTCTCTGACTCTCCAATACCACTCATAGTTGAGCTTAGTTTGTTGACATTCCAATGGCATACACATCACTTTAATCAGATAAGCAGGGGGTTCCTCTGAATCACAAGAACACACTGCACAGATTGTATTTAATACCACAAAGCAGTGTTGTCCCAGCCAGTGCTTCTGATAAGAAATGCTTGCATTTCATAAGCAGCCAGATCAGAAGACATGAGAAAGAAAACAGAGGGACGTTTAAGATCACAGTTATTCATACAAGAGGTCTGCAGATAGATTACATTTATTAAAACCTAAACAGATGCAACGAGATTGGAAGAGTTTTCAATGAGAGAACCTGGATTTACGCAGAGTCCTCTCATAATGTACTTCCTTTAGCACTACTTACAGATGGAATACAGAAGAAATAAACTGAACATAAAAGATATGAAATTCCTGAGCTAAGATCAAAGACACAAACCTAAGCAAGTTTAAAGAGAAAACAAGTCCTACAACTCCTAGTATTCCCCAAGCAGCTGTGCTAGTGCCCCCTACCCTGGCTGATAGTTGTACATTTCTGCTGCTTCATACCACTGTATCAAGATATTTTTTCCTCCTTTTTAAAATGCAGTTATTGGCCATTTTGGGTAGTCTTAAAACCCAATATGAATTCTCCAATAAACACCTTGGGCACCATGCTCTTAAAATGACTAGCACAGGGAGAGTACAAGGATTCCAGTCACCATTTACTTCAAATCCACGTGCAAGTAAAGTTAGAGTTCACATTTTCTGGTTCCATGTCCTTCCCTTTCTTTCTCTTCAGTGGATGCAAACTGCTTGATGTGAAATCCTCCCACGTTTCACAGATGAACATGGGGGTTCACTTGAGATACTTGTAACATTGCTACCATCACACCAAGGATCAGTGCTTCAGATGTATCACACCCACTGCCTTCCACACTGCTGAGAACTCTTCACCATCTCCCACGCTCAGCGATAGTCTTCTCTGCACGGGCTTCTGAAGCAAGTATATTTCTAAACACACCATAGTAAATACTTTTGCTTTTACATAATAAATACATACTACACATTTCAGCCTTCTATGGGGCTACAGCTTAAAATGCCAAAATGTATTTCCTTTCATAATCAATTTAACTGCACGTATTAGAACTGCAAAAACTTCAACATGCAGCAACATTTACTATACAGTTTATGGATATGCAATTATTGGAGCAGGGGGAATTTAAAAGAAAGCTGATGTAGATACATGCACAATACAATGCTTGAAAATCCCTCAAATCTCCACAACATGATCAACAGGGCAAAGGTATTTATCAGGTACCAGGTACCAGAAAACAGGAAGGATATACCTTGAGTGTTCCACTTCCCACCCCTTTATGTGCTTTCCAGGTAAGCAATAAAGAGATTATCAAACTATTATATAATCTCCCTTTACCTCTCTGGAAAAACAATGTTCCAGTACAGAATAAGCTCTCCTCTTTCCAAAGATGCCCTCCATGTGTAGAGGGCGACAAACACACAGTGATGCCTAGTGTGCTCCCCCGCCTTGAGTGTTTAATCAGCTCTGATCAGGAATGTCTGATCAGGGAGTGCGTCTACACACACCAGGGTGGGCAACCTGTGGTGTTTTGGCCTACAACTCCCATCAACCTTAGCCATTACAAGCAATGGGGAAGGAAGATGGAAAAATACCTGCACAGCAATTAACTACCATCCCCTAATTGTACACACACATTGACTGAAACTAAAAGGGGCACAAGGGTCTACAGTACGTCATTCCTCAAGGAGAATCTTTCAGGCATCTCATAGTTTACAGCTTCTCCTAGTGGGCTGTGTTTCCAAGCATTTTATGCATGGAAAACCAGTACACTTCAACTCCTGTCAGCCCGCATTAGATGGCATGACAATCTCCTTTTAGTTAAGAGAATGAACACAGTCAAAATAATTAATTAGTAGCATTAGGGATTAGTAGAATTGCTCTTACATAAAGTTTCTTTAAAGCAAAAGATTGCCACAACATAATTTGGGCCAGAGCTTCAGTCTTTCAGCATCTTCTGAATGCCAGGACTCATATTTGAAACTGAGAAGAAAGTGTGACCCCTGCATACACATGCAGTTTTCTTACTATTGACTGGCTATGGATTGTCAACTACTTAGGAGGCATGGATTTCAAGCAGGCTTAAGCCCCATTCTCAGCAGCTCCTGTTCTTAAAGTTCCCTCTTGACACTGCAGGTTAACCTTCTAAGGAGCATGGGAATTTGAGTTCAGACAGCAAAGAGGAAGGGGTTCTGGAATGATAGCAAACCACAGGAACAGAACAAGTCCGGGGAATGTCTGAGCTGTGAGGAGAGCTGCTCCAGGTAGGTGGAGATGCCAGCCAGCCAGCCAGCCAGCCAGCGGGAATGGGGAGACAGCACAACAAGAGGTGGAGCTGGCAGTCAGGGCTGACGAGAGCCCCAGTCTGCCAATGGGAGAGCAGGGGGAGGACTTGGGATCTGGCCAGGGTGCGCACCAGGAGCTGAGCTGTCTGTCAGGTGGAAGTGATACTGGCTGCTAGCAGACACCACAGGCAGAGACTCAGTCGATGGAGCAATGGGAGCAGCACCAGCTGGTGAAGTATCACAGTGCCCTGCCTCTAGGATGGCTCAGGAGAGAGAGGTATAAAAATCCACAATAAAGGCTTGTGAAAAGAAACTCTGGAGAGCATGTTTACTTGGGAGGAGGACCATGCCTCACGACACATGCTCAGTAGCTGCAGAAAAAACTGCAGTTGGTCAAGCAAATTTCCCTTGTATCTCAGTCAGGGTGTACAATATGCACAAATCTGATTCATCAAGTAGTGGGGGGGGTGTCTGTTTATTTAAAAACAAGATCCCAAAGATGTTGCTGAATGTCACACTTAAAGATGTAGGCAGAGCCAATGATAGATCCTTTGACAGTCTCAACAGAGTTGCTTTCGGGAAAACCTATCCCTGGGGCTTCATCAGGGTTCAGGTGCCAGCAAGTAGAAAAGGAGGAAGCAATTAAGTTCTTCTTACTAGCTCAAGCCCTTGGCGATTAATGGGCCCAAAAGTAGCCTGCCTGAACTCTGAAATGGAAAACCCTAATATGCAGAGCTGACCTCTCATTTCTTTAACAATAGAACCAAATAAAGTAATGTACACAGCAAATTGCTCATTTGTTGAAGAGCCAAACAGTTTTGCTAAAACTTAGAAAAGGTTTTCACGCCCAGCTAAAGTAGACAACATCCTTGCATCCCTTACACTAGAAAAATAAAGCTCACAAAAAATTCAAGAATCCTATTACTTTCTCCCTGGCAGTGTGCTCCAAAGGTTAAAACTTGCTTTCATCAGCTAAGGTCACTTCACAGAGCCTTTTTTGTTTTTACAAAAAGCAAATCTCTGGGGAAGAGGGGCTGCTACAAAAATGTTGAAACAGTAGTGAACTTAACCATGTTGTATTGCATTGAAGAGTCCTACAGCACCTCAAAACTCATGGATTTTATCAAAGCATCAGCTTTCATAAGTTACTTGAAACTTCATAGGATACAGCTAGTGAAGTAGATCTTGCCTGTAAAAGCTCATGCCACAATTACATTTGCCCACAGGTGGGCTCCTTAAAATACATTGAACTCAGCAGGAATTAAGCAGTCTAATTATTGTAGCCTTAGATGTGAATCCTATCATAGTTAGTCATGACTAAGTCCCTCTGAAACCAATGGGCTGTATCAAGTCGGTGATGACTACCTTCAGCTGGATCAGAGCCACACACAATAAGGATGCCTGCTTTGAAGTATGTGATACAGAATGTAATGAGGCATACTCCCAGTTAAGTGCATATATACTTACCTGATTGCAGCATAGTACTCTGTATCACAGTGCGCTGCTATTTGTCCTTAAGGTGTTTCCTCTGTAAGAGTGGTTTTGCTAACCCAGTGCTGAAACAGTATTATACACCGTCACTGGGAAAGGTGCACTCTGTAACTTTGTAAAATCTATTTTTAATAGCAAAGATAAAAGAAAATCCAGAGAGGCTGCTTAACATGGGGAAATCCCAAGTTGTGTTGATCATCTCGTTGTCGGCAAATCAGCAGGCTGCTTCTGGCTCATCACTGCTAGGGAAGATGTTTCATGTCATAGCTCCACAAGCAGTCTGCCTCATCACAGCCTTTCATGTCACAAATGATAATATGTTTGCATTTGAATTCAAAGAACGGCTTTGCCTTTGGTAGACAGGAGCACCCCGACATGCTTGTTTTAACTTCAAGAACAATGCTGACAAACCTAGCAGCAGGGCTTGCCATTTTCCTTCACCTGTTTCCCCACCACCCAATGTCAGTGGGCTGCTGTCTCCACAGCTGCCATCATGTCCCAGCCATGTCAACTTGCAGAGCGCCACTCCACTTACCCGCCAAGGCTTTCTCATAGTTCTTCCCCATGGAAATGAAGTTCCGCAGGCTGGGGTTGAACTGCTCCATGATAGTCTATAGGAAAATACAAACAAGACATCAGCAATATAAGAACTCCACAGAGAGTGACAGTGTTTTCTCGTATCTTTGTGTACACGTGTATGATTATAAGAGAGAGTGACTCATGCTACCATGCAGAATAAAGTCTTGGAAACACTACCCTCCCACATGCACACACTCTATGCCACACAGACATCACAAACCAAATTCAGTGACATTTTATAAGTTGATGACATAGTTTAACAACTCAGTCCAGGATTTAAGTATATAATTATATGTGATGAATTCCAGACAGTATTAAAAGCTCCTTTGTGACCATTGTATGCTGCCAGGGGTGGAAATATGAAGCCAACAAGTACAAAGACACTCAGAGGAAGGAGGATTAGAACAGCAGGCAAAGGGGTTTGTTTGGGGTGCAAACACTTCATTCTATAAGGCCAAAACCAAAGAACCTGACAATTACAGCAAATTTAGACACAGAGATACTCTTTTAAGCACATCTTATCATGTACCTTCCTTAGTTTCTCTGTGGACCAGTATGTAGAGGACCATATAAATATGTTAATTGTATATAGAACTGTGCTTTCAAGTTCCAATTAATTCATGAGGCCTGATGGCTGATATAGTATAGGCCAAAAAGGTATTTCTGTATATTGACCTCCCAAGATGAGGGACAAGAATTAATTTTCTACTCTTGTACCACATAAATCCTTCTTGAGCAATTTAAGCTTCAGTGTAGTACAATTTTAAAAACTTTTTGCAATAGTAGGTAGTACCAGAACACAAATTTCAGACTAATCTCTTACTCAGACATGTTGAGTTGTTACCCACTGGTTCTAAGTATATGGATAATGCAATGATTTGACAATATATCTGCTCTCAGAGCATATTTGATCCATATGAGTACATACATATTTGTTGCCAGAGATCTTCATAAAGATTTCAGTCTCAGATTTGGCTTGTTTGTTTAACAAAGTTGTTCTCCCCCTTGCCAAACTCTTCAGCTCCTACTGTTCTATTGGAAAGACACTTTATACTTCCACATCTGGACTGGCAATACCTATATTTCTCTAATACATAGCATGCTAGCAAAAAGCATTCTTCATTTTTCTATGAAATACATATTTGAATAATGAAAAATCAAGTTTAAAGAATAACAAGATATACATTTTTCTTAATAAAATACATCCTATCTGACCTCCAAGAAATATACGGCCTATGCGACTTACAAGAAATTCAGTATAAAACACACAATTGAATACAAAGCAGCAGTATTAAACAACAGGGATTAAAAACAACACCAGCAGAATCCAAGAGGCCCCAAGTTTTGAAAAGCCTCAGGATTAAACTGGCAAGTACACTTCTAAGTGAAGTAACAACATTCCACTTTGCCCAGAGGCAGCCTCCAGCCCATGACTGCTGCAAGCAGGCTTAAAGCTGTGAACCTAACCAGGCAGATAGTTCAGGCATCTGTCAAGTCTTAACAAACACCTTGAAGGTAAACCAGAAGAACCCAAGAAGCTCACCTGCAACTGAGAGAAATGGTAAACGACTGTTGAGTATATGATTATTTCTTTCATTGAAGGTGTTGTCTCACTGCTTTGAAGTACCTGGGCCAGTCCAAGATATTTTGCTGTCTGAGATGACAGACAAGAGGACCCTCTCAACCAAGATCCATATACAGGGGCTGACTGACTGGTAGTTAAATGTCAAGTCAAAGCCGGCAGTGGGACAGCATTTACACTGTACCTGAGAATAGCAGGCTAGCGCAGTGGGCAGAGGCTGCCTACTGGGCAAATCCAGAGCTCTGTCCTCAACACCCTTCTGTCCTTCCCTTCCCTTCCCTTCTCCTTGAACCTGCAATCCGAGACAGCTGCCTAAGTGCATCTTATGGCAAGGCCAGCTCCATGCACTGGCCTTTTCCAGTGCAGATGTTCAGCGGAAAACTACCTCGTGTGCTGCAGCTGCTTTAAACTTGTATCAAGTAGATTACATGTAGATCAGAATGCAAGGATGACACTCACAGCCTGGAAATTTTCCACTGCTGTTCTTGTCCCGATAAAAGCAGTGCTCTGACTATGGAAGTAATTTTTAAAAGACAGCATTTTTGGTTTGCTAAAATGAATAAACATGGTCCTGATCTCAATTTTGTGGCCCAGGCAGTGTGTGCCTGTAATTCTGCCATTATACAAAGGAAAGAGTGGTGATATACCTCATGGGTCAAAGGAAGAAGAACTCTGTTTCTGAAGACACTGCAACTACTACAAAAGCTCATGACTTTACAAAAATGAATTCGAATTTTATCCACACTTGGGAGAGCGTTTTGGTTGTCCTCAGAGTAGTTACTCTCTCTGGTTGCTTTTAAAAAAATATTCTGTAGGTGGTATCAAAAAAGAAGACAGAAAAGAGAAGGCGTGTCTGCTACTTAAGAGGCTTCAAGGAGAGGGAAAGACCTTACCTCTAGTTATTGAAACAAGTGTTTTAACTGTTTTTCTAGCTCTAAATAACCACTAACAAGAACGGCTCTTTGTTATCTGTGCATCATGCTGTGAATGAGCCATCTTGATACCTTAGCTCTGCTATCAAAAAGTCATTCAATCGTTATGTAACTATGGCACCTTGAGACAAGACAAAGAATTCACTAGCTGCTTTCATGCTGAGAACCTAACCTCTGAACTAAAAGGAACTTTGCCTTGCAAAAGACAAATCACAGTCAGATACTAAGAAAGCTGGGGAACAAGAGGAAAAGATCAGTACATAATTCATGGGACTTTTCTAGTAAGCGCTTGCCTGAGCTTCCAGACAGCCTGACTGAATCTCCCCCCCCCCTTTTTTTTTCTTTTTTGGCATAGTGAGAGCTTTTTCATCGAGTAATATACTCCTCAGTATGAAAAGTTATATTGTCAATGTTGGCTCAACACTTTCCCCCCTAATTGCTTTACAAACTGGCTAACGGAATAGTGGCTTGATTACAGATTAACTGAACAAGCCATCTGGGCTCCGGCACTGTCAACACCTGGCCAGCTACTTGTAATTCTTTCTTCTCCCATCTTTGCCCCATTACTAAAATGCTGCTCCAAAAGCAGATATACAGGAAAACACTTCAAGGATGTGCATGCAATAGTTTCACAGATTTATTAAAATTCTACTGTAGCAAATAGCCACACTGTCTGTGGAGCTAAGTTTTATTTTTAAAGCAAGAACAATTTAAGTGCAGTACCTGAAGTTTAAGTCCCAAGTTAGAGAAGAAATTTCCTGGATGCTACTACAAAAATGCACCCTAAAGGCTACAAACACATTGAGCTTTTCTTAAATTTATCCTGTATATTATCCAAAGGAAGGGACCTGCTCAGACATCTTACCTATGATCACAACCACCACCCTCTATCCATTCACCTGGGGATAGAAAGACCTCTTAAAGAAAACCCAATTCTGGCTACAATCCATTACTCTAATGGAGCTGAAACTTAACCACTGCTCTAATACAGGCTGAATACAGAGATTGCACAGAGATGAGCAAGACTGCTGGGATCGCAATCTTCCTTTTACCATTGTCCTCTACTGCTACAGGACATGGTTCTGATTGTCACCCTCCCCTACAAAGGGGAAGGAGAGGAGAGACACAAGATACTTCTGTTGAATAAGCTGATTAAACATCTGCCACCTCAATTGAAGCTGGCCAAGCAACTATAAAGCTCATTTTCTGCCTGAAGCATTTTATCCCTCATTTCTGGATCCTGTTCTTTTGAGACCGTGACTACTGTAATTTACTTCTAAAACTACAACCCATCACTAACACTGAGCAGTAGTGGCACATCTGCCTTTCTGGAGTGCAAAACAGCAGGTTATTAATTTCAAATTGGCAACATTATCTTCAAGACAACACATCTGAGCTTGGAGATTTTAGTGCAGTACCCCGTGTCTGGCAGTAACATTGTTAGACTTTTAAAAATGTTGGTTAGCTCAGGAATTTCCTTTAAATTCTCAGATTATTTCTGAGCAATGGCTTCATTCCAGCAGTTTTGCTGACAGGCTACTAAGTGAGCAGAGACATTTGTGTTTGCAAAAAAGGACCACCCTGATCTTCCCTTGAAAACAAAATGATTAATGACATTTACGAGAGTGTCTGAAGAAAGTAGAAGAGCCAGACTCCAAGGAAAAGATGGTTCAAATTTCATCTAATTCAAGATTCTTCTCACCATGAGCTTATTTGCAGAGGGGGGTAGGGATAGCTGAAGAAACACTCATAAAAATAGCAAGAGGCAACCAACGTTTGGGGAACCACCCTGTTCACACCTTTTTGATTCAATATGGTAATAGAGTTACACTACTCCATCTGAATGAGGAAAAACGAGGAAAAATGAGAGGAAAAATGAGATAACAGAAGCTAAGGAATAGAGAGCAGGGCGATTCAGGTGGGCAACTAACCACCCAACAATATTGCCAATGCAAGCATATCCCTATTTATCAGTAGGTATATGTCTACCAGTAGGATTTGAAAATAGCACTCCTCTGTTAGCACTGTCAAGGCACATAATACAAGGACACCTTCCAAAATGAGCAGATGCACCCTAAGAAAGACATGTCTTCTTCTGTGTATTATTTTTCCCTAAACACAGCGAGGGGGAGATGTGGAAATTATTCTAATTTGTATCAATGAATAAGGGTCTCAGGAAGTATATGCTGGCCAATACTGGTCTCAGAGCAACAGAGCTGAATGTAGTAAGGGAAGAGATCACTAGGAAAATGTAGGGGAATATGAAGATCCATATTTGTATCTTCTCCTTGTTTTAGCAGTATTTTAGTTCTTTCACTGTATTTTCTTTTTTTTAGAAAGAGGAAGATACATAAATGAAGCTAGTTATATCAAATCAGACCATGGGCCCATTCATTCTACCCTACTATTGGCAGTATGTCCAAGTCTTAGGCAGTGGTTCTTCCCAATTCTGGCCCCAGAGGTAACACAAACTGCAAGCATCATGATCAGAACCTGGGAGATTTTGCATGTACAATCT